CAATGTTTTAAAGTTCTTTCATCCCAGATGATCCACTTAGCAGCACACTTAAAACAAGCTATATGCTTAAATGAGCCTGCTGCAGCTGAAAACACAGATGCAACCCTGCCAAAATGAAAGTCACAACAGCAGATGTGTGACGCTGTGCCTGGCACATACACCAACCATTCTCTCCCCAGGAGCTTCTCCTGGTATAGCATCTCCTTACTTCCGGTCTATACGACCCCTCCTATTTGTCTGGTTTTATCTTTTCTTATGAGAAATGCCCAGCATCTTCTGTCCAACCCCATTTCACCTCCTCCCTGCATACACAGGGAGATAACACACCCTCTAACAGGACAGCCCTACTGCCTGGGCCAAACTTCGCTGTCCAAAACTGTCTCTCCACCTCCTTCCTCAGATAATCAAAGCAAGCAGGGATGCAATGGGGAGGACAGCAGGTAGGTTAATGAGCTGATCAAAGAAACATGGGAAACAAGTGGGTTGAGGTAAAGATAAGGCCTCCAGTGTGATATAACAGCTGGGACACAGAGGCAAAAGCATAGCTGGTAGAGGGAAGGGTAGGAGAACAGAGTGATCCCACTTAGAGCTTTTGGTATCTTCTTTTCCCTCAGAAGAAAGCTTAGGGCTCTGCACCTGAGTACTGAAGGCCATCTGAAACGGCAGCACCTCCCAGCCCTATCTTCTGCTTTATTGTGGAGGGGCAAATCCAAGATTAATTTCCTTCTCCTTCTCCTTGCCTGCTTCATGTTTGCAGGTAGCTTATGTTTAGAGTTTCTCCAGACCCAAGAGCAGCTGCTGAACATTCTGTGCTGCAATGTGTGCCTGGTAGGAGCCCATCTCTCCCTGATCCCCATTTCCAGGGCTGTGTGACTCTTATCAAAACACCTGTGACTCAATGTAATTTCCATGTGGATCCTAGAATACTTCTGTGAAAACAGACTGAAATAACAGCCAGTTTGACCTTATCTTTCCAACTGGCATGTGGGTTTGAAAAATTTAACTTAGTCCTTCAAGTGGCTATTGCAAAAGCTGCTTTCCATCAGCATTGTTTCTGAGTCCAGCAGCTACCATGGCAGCTCAGAAAGAGACAGACTATTGTCAACACCGTCCAAAACAAACTGGAGGGAGAGAAAAACACCCAGCAAATAAAACCAAAGAGCAAGATCAATATTTTCTGCTGGAATATTTAGATTCTGCATTAATTCTGATACCCATCAAAATAGGAGTATACAAGAAAATAAAAAACTTCTGTTTAATTCTCTGTGCTCTGTCCCTTGGTTTAGTCTTTAAAATCTCTTAGCTCTTATTCCACTACACCTCTGCTGCTCCATCAAACTTGAAGTCTTTGTTATAAGAATATAGACTTTTTAACCATGCTAAGCCTTCATATGCTCTCAATTTAGTTTCAGCTGTACTTTGCATTATGGTATGATGTATCTGTCCAAATTCTATTGTTAAAAATTCCTATGTAAAAGAGAACTTGCATGGAAACTATGCAAAAGAAGTAGCTGGTTTGCAATGGAGCACCAAATTAAGGCCAAATTGCAAAGATAGAGTGAAAATTGTGAAAATGTCTTGGCAAGAACAATAATTTAAATGCATAGATAAACAAATAAATGAATATAAAAGACTTTTTTCTTAAAACCAGGCTATAACTGAACAGCAACTACTTTAAAACTACAATTTACGGCTTCTCAGAGGATAAAACAAAGGTCTTCTTAGTCTTTGTGACTCCAAAAGAGTAGAAGATGGTTTAAAACTAACATCCCATAAATCTGTCTCATTTTTATCGATGAAATGGAAGAAAAAAGAATGTCTGTTTGGACACGTACATAGGCTTGCCAGCAAAATGATGCCCATATAAAGCAAAACCTCACTTTTGAAAATGTTATTTGCAACTCTATGACATTATACATTGCTTAATGAGAAAATAAATCTGAACTGTTTGATTTAAAAATGTATCTCTGCCCTTTTTAAAAAACTCAGTCAGCATTCCATCTCTCTCAAGCAGCAAGAATAAAAATTGTTAACATTTTGATGGTTCTCAAACACAGCATAGAATTACTGAAATATTTAGGAAGCTACTAACTTTTCAGTCCCTCTACGTACTGCTGGGGACTTTTCACTTCCAAACTTTTTATGCATAAGCCATGACAGCAAGTAAGTAAGTACAAATTTTAAAGAAATTGAAACCATGATTTCAGACAGCATAATAGCAAGATTAATGAAGGACCAGAATTCATCTGCTTAAAAGGGGAAAGGCAGCCAAAATAATATTTCTGCTAGCATACTTTTCATTCTTAGTATTTTTCCTGTCAGTGTTTGGAAAGAGGAAGATATATTAAAGGTGTTGCCATCTGTTGCCAATTCCAAACTTCTCTTCTGACCTTTTCTTTACTCTCCACAGTGCAGCACTTCAATGTCCTGTTTACTGTCTACCACAGTAGGCTGTATTACTTAGCACAGCAACCTGCTTATGCATTTCCCTCTCCCTGCTGAGATCTAAAAACCAACATTTACCAGCTTCATAAATTCTGCCAGCTTCTGTCAGACCTTCAAACTGGCCATATGTCAATATCCAGGGACCTTGTGTGGCAGCACCTTCCATGACACGGGGAAGGACTTTTCCTGTCCTACAGCTCTGGACAGGGGGTGGCATGGTTGAATTACCCCATCCTTTGTAATTCCCCCCCAGGGAGCTCTCTTCAAAGACCTCCAGAGATGTTCATGTCCTGTGTTCACAGGGTACTGAGTGTCCACAATAAAGCCCACCTCTTCAGCCACTGCTTTTCAGGAACAGATCTATCCTTAGGCACTGCTTAATCCAGCAGTGGAGCCTGTGAGCCAGCACCAGCTTGCTGTGGACCAGAGAGTGTGGTCAGGCTGCTTCCATCACTGGCACGATAAACACCTCCTCGTGCTAGTGAAGGTAATATAAACATTAGATCTAAAACCAGAAGCTGTTTTTTGCAACTCATTTGATCAGATCAATTACATCAAGGTCTTTGAGGAGAAATTGAATTAAAAATTTGATTTTGCGGGATTATAGAGAAAAATTATCAACCTCATTTCAAAAGTAATCCTCAGTTATAGTCAGATTCAAATTCTGAATCCTGTCTTGGACATTACTTCTTCAGCTGGGCTTTGTTCTTAATATCATTCCTCAACTGGTTTCCATTTCTTACCCCAGTTTGCCAGAAAGCCTACTTTTACATGTCCTGTTTCATCTCTTTTCTAATTCGATCCCAACTGTAACCCTGCCAAGTCACAGGACCAACATGGGAAGACAGTGAACACCATGGGAACTCAGTGTAGAAGGGCTCACTTTGGCTTTTCATCAAAACTTGTTGGCCCTTCTCCAGGCCAGTATAAAGCAGTAAAGCCCAGGCTTTTCAATTTGAACCAGTGGTGGAAGTTTTAAGCTCCCAGTCACTGCTTTAGGTGCACCTTTCCTCCAGTATTTATTTCTTAATCTGGGAAGGTGTCTTTGTAGTTCTCATCTTATTTTTTTTTCTTTTGCTTCATCTCTTTCCATTTCCACAGGGAACACCCACAGCCTGATCTTACAGACTTCTTTGTTTTCCAGAGAACTGAAGGATAATAGCTATGTTAACAGGAGGTTTGGCTTTAACTACTTGAATTGCTGAACTGTCTTAATTACTTTAACTTTGAACTGGTTTTACTCATTCACAAACATATTTGTACTTCTGAAGACTTAATGCAGTTAAGTATTTAAGCACTTTCTCCTGGCTGGGAACACTCTTGTTGAAGAGTTGAGGAGATCATGTAAACATGATCTCCTCAACTCTTTTTCGTGATTCTGAACTAAAAACTGTAGTAGAGTATTTGCAGCTCCTTACTGGGTCACTTTAGACATGTTTTGTTGGTATGTGTCTCAGACAAATGTGCTTGAAGATTATTTAAAAATTGTTTTGCCAAAGAAATGTGAAAATGCTGTCCATATCACATTTTGCCTCAGAAATGTTATACTCCTACTACAGAACTCCTTTTAGTTTGCTAAAAATAGTCTTTCAAAGGGACAGTGTGTGCTTTAATGTTTGTCCCAGTCTTTCCAAGTAATTTTTTACTTTTCTTAATAAGTCTCTTTGGAAGTACAAGCTGCAGAGAAATAGTGTCTTTTTTCCATTGTTAATTTCTCACTGCACTTTGCTGTTGAATACCATGCACTTAAGAATGAAGGTTCAACTGTAATAATGCATTTGTAAAGAAGGGAACTCTGGGGAATAAGACCCAGAAAACCAGGTATCTGACATATATGTGAAAATAAAGTACCAATACCACCTGCAGAAGAATGTAAAAGTGAACAAAAATTCATTTTTGCAGCCTCGTATCATTTTTTTTAAATGAGGCAGTGTATTTTAAAACAGTGATTGAAATGCTGCTTGTCTCATCCATTTCATTCAGCTGTCTTCACCATTTCCAACGGATCGTCTACCCCAGCTCAGCTTCTTAGCCGGAGGAACTTTGTTATGTATTCTTATTTAAATTTCTCTTTGAAATTCCCTGGAATTCTAACGTGCCACTGGGGGCAAAAGTACATCTTTAGAAACCTGCGTCTTTGTTGTCCGACAGAAGTGTGAACAGCTACTCAATGAAAGGGAAATTTCCATCAAAGTAGGAGAAAGTACATGAGCTGATTTTATCTTTTTGATTTTATTATTAGATTTGTGGGCAGTCAGGAAAATATTCCTCTCATTTTCCTTTCTTACAGTTCTTCTTTGCTACCACTGAGATTTTTCATTTTGCACAAAATCCTGCAGCTTGTTCTTAATATTACCATTTAAAAGTAAAAAGGTATCTAAGATAATTATGGCAACAATGAGAAGAGACAAATGGCAGAGGTAAAAATATCAAAGTTTAACATCTGTATGAGACAGTTAAGACTTATTCTCCTAGGAAGAGAAAAAAGGATGGGAGTGTATGATTCTAAGATCACTGAATCTGATGATGCTTTAGAAAATACAAATCTTATTTACCTGTGCAATCATGTCTGCCGTTTCAGAGTAACTACGGCACTTTTTCACAGCTGAACGAGCCAAAAAGTCATCAATCAGCCTTATGCCGATGCTGTATCCCCTGAGGAGGAAACAAGGAAAGGCAGCATTTAAAATGGGGAACTTCTTTCCACCTGCCATCTCCCTAATGCGTCTCTTGCACTTCCTCAGCAAAACAGCTGCATGATCCTAATTGAGGGACTTCAGTGACAACACATTTTGCTGGTCTACATTCTTCTTTCTGCCACATTTTACAGCACAGTGGGACTGCTGTTCATGCATTCATTTAAGGAATCATACTTCTTTAAGCATGATACTCCTGGCAAGGACGATATGAATTGTCTACACAGTTTGTCTGTACATTGTCTATAGGCATGGACACCAACCCTGGGCACCCTCATTGCAGCATTCAGGTGCCATAGGAAATGCAATCACACCTGATCTCTTTCACTTTCTCCTCTTACCTCTTCACCTCATTTTTCACTCTTCCTTCCCAATTACCAGTTTGTCTTTTTTCCTAATGTTGTTTCCCTTCATCTTACTAGTTGACGAAAAAAACCCCAGAAGTTGTTAGTTAACACATGTTACCAATAGGTAAGGCTTTATAAAGGGAAGGCCTTGTGACATGGCTCCAGCCTGTTACTTAGGCTAAGTAGAAGGGAACTATGGAAGAGGGACCCAGCTGAAATAAGGGTAGAGAAACATCAGAGATGAGATGTGAGAGACGTGAGACGTGCTGTGTGACTGCCACGTGTCCACATTGTCTCCACGTTGTGGGGTATGGTGGTTGGTTGACTTGGGCTTGTTGTGCCTTAAAACTGTGTAAACTGGTAAAAGACTAACTGCTTTAAAAGGCTGGGATTTTGGCAATAAGGAGCACTCCTTTGTACCTGCCTGGTGTTCCTGCCTCACTCATTACCACAACACAGAGTTTTTGTACACTGCCACCTCCATTTTGTATTTAAAATACTACGATTTTTTTAAAAAGTAAACAAAAAGGCATGGAAGAGAAAGGAATTTTTATAAAACAAATATTCATTCCTAGCTCTGACACATTAAAAGGCCAATAACTTCTTAGTGTGCAAAACAGCTGTGACTCCAAACATTTTCTGAAAAATGGAAAGACATCGACACAAACATCTTGTAAGAATGGGTACTCAGCCCAGAAATGTTTTTAGAAAATTATTCATTCCCAGTTATGTGGATATAGGCAGTGTCTGCTTGTTTGTCAGAGGCCCTACACCCTTGGTGAAGCAGCCTGAACTCAGTGGAGCTTCTTACTGGTTTGTGTACAACATCTTTGGCTAGAAGACAAACTGTGAGCTGATGACAAGACCAAAAATTGTGTTTGGCAGCATGAAGATTAAAATTGCAGTATGTCATGTGTCTAGAAACAATTAAATATTTATCTATTGCCTAAGTATCATTATCAATAACATTGGCAAATGTGTCATCAGCATTTAGCAAGGTATGTATTAGTGACATACAAGACTACTTAGATATGTTTCAACTTTTATGCCCTAGATTTGCAAAGTCAAATTAATAACAGGCTGGTAAGCAGCAGCTTGGCAACTGTACAGTGAAAAACACCCTTCTCACTACAGACTATATATGTACACAGAGAGAGAGATAAGCACACTGTCCCACCTGTCACAGGTCTGCTGAGATGCGAGGTTTCTTTGTGAAGCTGGGCTGCTTCATAATCACAGAAGTAAAGAACACATTGTTTTAATGAAACCTGTCATTATATGATCAAGTCTTCCTCAAAACAAAAAGATTTCACAGAAACAACTGCAATAATGAAAACATAAGGAGGAAAATCTGTCTCCGCATCTTCCAAAACTGCTCTCTAGTAATTTCTACCATGGCATCATTGAAGAAGCCTGTGCATATTTCAAATGTATGATTTTCACCAGAGCTGAATGAAAGATGAATATTAAAAAGTATCTGATGGATGTTATCTCTTATAAGTTTGTGAATAAATTACTTTTCTTTTTCCCAGACAATGATTTTTTTTCTTCATTTACTCTCATGGATAGTTATTGGACTACAGCTAGTTTGCAAGCTTTCAGATTAATAGTAAAGTGGTCAGGGTATTCTGTCCTTTGTGATTTTTGTAAATCCATTTTGCATGTCCACTTTGCCCAGAAATATAAGCCTTACTGTTCTGACAAAGGCCTTACTATATGTTCTTGTTGACCAGCTAAAAAGGTGTTTCTTGCTGATTTTCCATTATATTGTTATTTTTATGGCAAATGTAATGCCTAGAAATCTCAGTCAGGATGACAGGGTTTGTAAACATTGAATCTTAATTTTCCAAGGAGGTTATCCATGTAAAAATCCACCTCCACTGACCTTTTGTGCTATCTCACTCATTGCTGTAAGATCCTTTAAAGGTGAGAGACTCATTTGCCCCTAACCCAGTAAGGGATATAGGATATGAAGTTTAGAAGATTATATTAACAATGAGCATAACTAAAGGATCAGGAAGGAACAATCAATGAAAACAATCCTGACACTTTTCCTCAGCGAATTAAAAAGCTAATTGTTGATCTTAATTCACAAATTAGTGTTGTTTCTGTTGACAGAATATTGAACGTTTTACTGTCTTCTCAGTAACCATAGACAGACTACTGGAACTTGCAAGATAACAAACAAAAAGCTGAAAGGTAATATATATAAGAACAAGTATCATTATGGATAAAACTGAACATTTAAAGCAGTACTTACATTCTATCTAAACAGGCATTGACATCTTCATCTTTTTCATATTCCTTGCACAGCTGGGCTACCAAAGCCCCATATGTGAGTACAAAAAGTTCTCTGCTCTGTCAGAAAATAAGAAAATCAAAAATGAAGCAAGCTGAAATCCAACTCTTCCATGTTTTTAAGATGCTGTTCATTAAAAACAAGTAAAAAATAACATGTAAATTAATAAAGAAATTTTTGTCCATGGATGCATAATCACTGAAATCCACATTTCAAGCATGACAGAATCTATTTTCATCCTCACTTGAGTTTGCAAGGGATTTTGGTTTTCAGAAGTACCATTTCTTGGTACACTCAGGGTTACTATCATTACTAATCCTTGCATCTTGAGTGTATGTGTGCTGGATTGACAAATTGTGTCAAGTGCCATCCAAGAGTACTAACAAACAGCAGCAGGAAGAGTGGCAATGAGCTATTAATCCTTCTGCAGTAGCACAACAGTTCACAAAGGTAGGGCTGATCTGATTCAAATCATTAGCTGCTTTCTCTAAAAAGGTAAAAAGTAGAGAAAAATCTAGCTCAGAATAATGAAAAAATACTATAATTCAGCACAAGGGTAAAGAATAACAACAAGATGAAAGGGATGGTGAGGATTGCAGCCCCCAAGGAACATGGAGAGCAACTGAAGATGCCAAAGGAGTATCTCTGCACTGGTCCTGCCACAAGCACTACTGTGGGGTCTTCAGGTGTGCAACAATTTGGAGGAGAGTTTCCTTCCCTCCCTGCCCTGTCAGATCACCTGCATGCACTGCACAACTGCCTGTATTTAGCAGGAGTAGCAGCTGTCCTTTAAGTGAGAGAGTAGGTTGATTCTTACTATACTTCTTGGACAGAAATTAATTAAAGGAAGTGCTACAGCCCTGTGACGTGGTCAGACCAGAGCTGCTTTTTGTCTCTAGCCTGGAATTATTATGGAAAAATAATAGTGAATACCAATAAAAACAACAGAACAAATCACACTAGCAAAGTAAGAACAGCTGGGTGGAAAGATTTCTTCCTGCTTCCTTTGCATCCAAAGTTTGGAGTTTAATCAGTGTTGTTGTTTTAGCAAGTCATTGTTCAAAATCTTAAACAGAACCACTTTCCAAACTCATTTCAGTGATAACTCCTGTTTAAAATAATGTACTCTTGGCCAAATTCTCAGTAACAAGTTTTCAATGGAGTAAATGGATGTCATACAGGTCCTGTATTTCTTTGTTATTATTGTCAGCAAAAAGTCTCTGTTGCAACAAGAAAATTACCTCAGAGAAACTTAAGCATAATATATCAATGTAATCAACTTTATCAGTCACACTTGCAATCCATTGGAATACTTTTTGACCATAAACTTAGGTATAGTAACTGTAATTTTATTACAATCTCTGATTTGTTTTTCAGTGGAGACCTCTGTCCTCTTTTCAGAAATTGATACAACATTGTCTTAAAGTCTTCTGGAATTTTTCCACTGCCCAGTTCCTGTCAAAAATCACCATTCACCACAGAGAAAGCCCTAAGGCTCTAAACTCCTGAAGAATGGTTTGTGTGGAATGGAACCATTCAAGCACAGAACAGAGATCTCCTTCTCTCTGTGTTTCATTGAATGACTATCTAATCACAGAGGTACATAAACTTACCTGGCATTTACATCTTAGACCATAAACAGTTGAAGCACTTAGACTTCTGTTTCTGAACAGATTGCAGTCTCAGAACCTTTGTGCGCCTCTTTCCCAAGCCTGTACAGAATCCCAGCATTAGGAATAGTAGCCATAAATGCTGCCAGCAGCTCTGCTCTTGTACCATCAATCTTATCACTATGCTTTCAGTACTTTCAGATTGTTCAGAAACAGGAGTGTATAAAATGCATCAATAAAATAATAGGTTATTACTCCATGCACAATTTGAATAACACATTACAAAAATGTCTTACTATTTTGTGGTTGTCCTGCTTTCTTCCTGGTGACCGAGACATGTTGCTTGTGTAACTCCTGATGTATTTGATTGTCAGTTTATATCTTTTCTTCCTCAAGCAGCACAGTCTTCTCTCAATCCTCTTACTCTTCTCTTTTCTCCTCTCTGCTCTTCTGTCTTTTGCATGAGATGTGTTTGCTGCAGTCTGTAATGCTGCTGATGCTCCTCCTATTCTCTGCGTGCACTGAGCCCTTTGGGAGGAATTTGACTGAACAGATCTGCCACTGTCCACAACATAAATAATCACTCTGTCCATAGGAATGGTTTGTAATCAAATACACAGATAGCACACATGGGAAGTCAAAGAGAGCAGGTCTTACATTTTTAGGGACAGTAAATTAATTTTTTTGTTTCTATCAGACTTTGGTGTTTGGAGAACTAACAAAAACTTCAGCTCTAAAGAATAAAAACACAATTGCAAGGTACTGCTGTACAAGGGAAATAAAAATTGATTGTTTTCAATCTAAAGAAGCTATAGTAGTCTGCCAACTCTGGCTGCTGTAGTCTGATGAGTTAATATCTGCCTAAGTTGGGGAAGTGTGGCTTTTAAGGCACTGCTACAACCATGTTTGTGTAAAGCTGCCAGGGCAGATTGAGAGAACTCAGCTTCCCAGAGGAATAAATTCTGTACCTGTATAGCTGCCAGCTTGTGCAAATGGCACTTTCACTAACCATGTTCCTAAGGGGTTTATAGAATTATAATTCTATCATTCTTAACCTGTTATAGCCCATATTTCTTAATATCGTTGCAATGAACATCCAGGCTTAGTTCATCTATTTTGCCATGTGGTAAATTTGGCACATGAGGTCGTTTTGATTTGCACTGAACTTTGATGATGGTCACTGGTGAATTTAGAAATTAATCAGGTAGTTGTCATTCCTTATAGGATTTACCTGAACATACATTCCAACTGAGTCCTCTCAGGAAAGGAAGTAAAAATATATGGCCTCCTCCTTAATAACAGCCATGCTGTTATTAAATTCCTATTAACTAATAGATTCAGTGCTAGAATAAAATTACAGATATTTACTTCTACAGATACACAGAAGGCATTCAGATGGGATTCATTTGGGATAAGGAAGATTAGTTTATTTCAAAAAATGGTAGTTTAAAGTTATGACACAATTCAACCAGGAAAAATAAAGATTTTCAGCTTTTTCTGTGTAAGGCTCAGTCATTCTGACTGCTTTTATTTCACACAGAATGAACTTGTATTGACAATTTTATAATGTAATTGCCTCTTCCATTTTTTTATTTTTCAGGTGCTCTTCTGACCCTGTAAAACCTTATTCCATTTTATAGTGAAACAATTGTAGGTACTTCTCATATCTAAATTTTAATAAATTTTAAAATCCAGGCATTACAATTCTCTAGTTACTTGCATTTCTAAACTGAGTCTGAGATGGGTTTGTTTCTCTGATTGTCTCCAACTAGTGACAAGCACCAAATATGTCTCACATTGCAAGAGTAATCCCATATTCCACAAGAAAGAGTACTGCATTACATTAAAAAAAAATAAAAACAACAACCTGTGAGATTGTAATTAACATAATTCAACTTCAGTGAACCCACTACAAAGCACTTAAGACTACTCATAAATAAGCACAATTCTGTTTATCTGGTTCAGAATATATATGGATTAATTACTTCAGCCTGCATTATTAATATGATAATCATGTGGGAACCCTGTGCACCAGACAGTGCAATGGCAAGGACACATCAACATCCTTTGAAAAATGCAGACATGCCATGTGCACCCAAGTAAACTCACACATATATTGCTATTTTTTGAGTACAAGGTACTGCATTTTGAAAGGTTTGCACATTATTGAGAAAACAAAGCTGAAATGGTGTGTCCAAATAAACTGGGGATTCAATGGCTCCAGTGAGGGAAACAAGTCCTTGGTGGACTGTCCTGCAGCCCTGTGAAAAGAATAGAGGTAGGCACACATCTGGCACCTGTTTTAATCCTGAACATGTACTTCTTAGAAGTGATCCAAGGCAATTGGAATAGTGAGAAAGTTAGAATAACCCTCTACCTCCCTTTCTGTCCTGTTTTTCAGGGGAGAAATTTAGCCTTCCGCCCCAAGGTCAGTCTTCACAGTGCTTGAGCATTAGACTACAGCAGTTCTCTCAATTCCCATCAAACTAAAAAATAAAAACCAAAGCTCAAAAGCACAGATAAAAGCATGCACCAGCACTCTGTCTCTTGCAATGGACCGGCTATTATGGGAAAGCTGATACCTACAGAGGTAAGTATATGATAAGTGCAACACAGAAATAAAGAATAAATCAGATATTGCCTAATTAGAAAGCCAAAAAAAAACCCCAAAACCAACAACAAGTGAAATTTTCTTTAAGGCAAAACAAGAATGCATTAACCAAAAAAGGCAAGTGTACAAATTAGTAAAATGCAGGGTCAAGCTTTTGTTTGCTCTCCATTTTTCAGATGGATAGACCTTGTATTAAATTTTCTCTGATAGAAAATAGAATTCTTTCAAATCACAAGAACATAGGTGTTGAGGGCTTGAAGCTATGTGAAAAAAACTTGAACACAGGTTTCTCATATCACACATGAGTGCTTTTACTAGAAGTCCAGCGTGGCTGCTGGTCTCACCACATTTCCAAATAAAGCAATGCCATTGCTGTCACTTTGCTGCAGTGCCCTGCCTGGGAAGCCTTCTCAGTTTGACCTGCTGAAACTTCCTTGGTTAGGTTATGTTTCTCAAGAGGGTGTTTTGAGATTTGAGTGCCTCCTTTCTGTGCTCTGCAGGAACTTAAAATCTCATCAATTTGCCTATAAAGCACAGCTGAATTCTGAAGTGAAATATGTAAGTTTTAAAAGAATCATTAACATAAATGTTAACATTTATGTTAACATAATGCTTATTATTTAATTAATTTAATTCCCTTAACATAAAGCTTATTATTTTTTTCATCAGTGCTTGTCCTGGTTAAGGGGACAGGAACTTCTCCAAAGGCCAAAGAGACCATGAAAATGACTTGGCAACCTGCCTCTAGACTGTGACCTGGCAGCTCACAGGACACGGGCAGTGCTCGCCTCTACTCCCACAGGAAATCTGTCATGCAGGTACTTTCATACCATGCTTTCTAACACGCACAGGTGGGCTTGACATCCATGCAAAATAGAATCCAAAATGTTCAAATGCTAGAGGAGCCACAGAACAACAGCCTTTTTACTGCTAGCTCAGTGATGAAAACATGTGTGCAGGACCAGAGAGACCAGGATTCAGTCTCATACTCCAAACTTCAGATGGAAAATAGAAGATCACTTCCCTCTTCCTCCCTAACTTTGCCTGGCCATTAGATAACAAAATCCTGATTTTTTTTTTTTTTTTAATCCAATAAATATCAAAATCCTCTCTGGCAAAACTAAGCTCAACTGGTAGAACTATGGCAGGAATGTTGGAGAACACAGCTTCTTTGCAGCACAGTCACATCTCCCCACTAATAATTGAGTTTTGGAAGAAAGAGATGAGTGAGTTTTTACTAGATCAGGTGGAGAAGGCAGCTGAAATCTCTCTATTGTGCCATGGTTGCTTTATTTCAATAAATAGGAGAATAAAAATGGTTTGCTGTGTATGGGAAGGTGAAATCTGCACTCCAATAACCATGTCTTAAAAGAAATGACAAATTATTCTCACTCCTTAAAAAAAATATAAAAATCTCTCCTTCTCATAAGTGAAGTTACTGGCAGTGAGTTCAAGCTGACAGAGCCCTGCAATATGAAAATCAAAACCATGACTAAGGTTTGTTCATGGATCCTATTTGCCTCAGATGTCAGCTATAAGCATCTTTCTGCCTCACAGCCTGCCAGCTGTCACCTCAGGTAGTGGTATTTTGGATTGCATCCAGTCCTAACTCTTCCTTGGAATTGGATAAAGAGCCTCAATGTCTACCTCAGGACCCTGGGTTCCTCTGCAGAGGCAAGTACTTAAAGATTTGATGTGCCACCCAAGCTCTTAATTGGATCCAATCCCGTAATTTGTTCCATAATAGGATGACCCAGCAGGATCATTTACAGCAGGCAATGAAAGCAAATGCCAAGGAATGAAAATGCAGAAGTACAAAGTTGTATTGATTGTATAAATTGCCTCATTCAACAGCCTTAGGCTGACTATTAATATTTTAGTGTTGGATTCCACTTCAGTTTCACATCTAATGTGTTTCTTGAGTAAACAAGTAATGCTTGGGAAAGCCTTCCTCCCTTATAAACAAAATAAGACACAGGTTCCAAAAGAAATCTCAGAAGGAATCAGAGATTTTAAAATGAACTGAGGCATAACGGAAGACTCTTATAAAATAATTTTGTGATAGCCTGATGGGTTTATTTCACTGATTTTTTTTTCCAAATATAATGTCACTAGTACCAAAAAAAAAGTTACTGAAAACCCTGTGATACTGAAAGAAAATGAAGGTTTAAAATGGCAATATTCAGACAGGTCTGGAATTTCTTTGTGCTATTACTCTGTCCAAACAACTAAGAATGTAACAAGTTCCAGAGAAGCTGTGCCAAAGTGCTGCTGGATGTTTCAGCATGTTTCTGTACTGCTTTTAATTTTGTATAACAGCGTCACATTGTTTGAGAGCCAGTTTCCAGCAAGGACCTCTATCCCAGATGGTGACTGGGGATGAGACAAGCAGGTGTCCACCCTAAGAGTGCCCTGGAGGAACAGGGTCCTGCCTAGTGAACAGGCAAGGCATGTGTAACGTACCATCCCTGCGCGCAACAGCTGAGAGAGTGTCTCTGCCATCCAAGCAAACACCATGGGTGCTAAAACTGCTGTTTGAGATCAAATTTATTGTTAGCAACCCTCTCTGCAAGGGGAGAGAAGAGGCTGTGCAGACACTATTGTATCACACAACCAAGTCCACCCATGCTGGACATAGACATCTGTAATGGGAAGGCAAATTTCCCCATAAACTTTCTGGCTAACTTTTACTTTATTTCTTCTCTTGGTAAGAACATTTATATGACAGACTGTCAGACTTGCCAGTACTTAAACACAAGTATTTGCAAATTCAGATCAGCCTAGGTTATGCAATGCATAGAACTACTGGATAGTGTGACCACAGAAAAAGTGCAATCCAGAGAAAATCATCAAGAGTGAAATGCTTTCAAATTTTCAGACCTCTGCTTAAAGCTTGGTTTGTGAGAGATGCTCAGAGCCCAGGTCATCTATCCCAATATCCAGAAGCCAGCTGTGGAAATGCTTAATTGAAAAATTTTTATCTCTGTCCATGGAATAGGACTGACTATACTTGCAGAAAATCTTAGAATTCATAAGCACAAGCAAACTATATAATACCAGCTGGCTTGATATTTTTTGAATAGCAGATTATATATATGTTATTAAAAAAAA